ACCCCTAGAAGACGGAGAAATAGGTCTCCCATTTCCGTCTGTCTGTCCGTCTGTCCGTCCGTCTGTCCGTCCGTCTGTCCGTCCGTCTGTCCGTCTGTCCGTCTGCCCCCGGATTTTTATTAGACAGATAATCTCCGAAAGTACTCAACCGATTGTTGTGAAATTTTGTACTTATATTAAGAATATCATGTAGATGGTAAAACGCTAACCAAAATTTGTCTAATCATCCCCACCACTAATGCGATGACGTCACTTCAAAATTGTACATAGTAAATGGGTTTTCAATTGTATAAAATAACGTAGTCCTACACATGTAGTTTACAACTCTGAATCGACTTTTCACCCGAAACGTCCAGATTTTTGGAAAAAAAATCAAAATTATAAAACAACATTTTGAAATTTAATTTTTAATCTGCTAACCAGAATGCTTTGAAATGTTGCAGATGTTTTAAGGCTATAAAGAGCATCATAAATCTTTAGTCAAAAAATATTTGCTTATCCCCTCCAAAAACTTGATGAGGTCAGCTCAAAAGTTTGTGGAATAAATCATATCTAAAATGTACAAAATATGATGAGTCTGTACTTGTGATCTATCACTCCATTCATATTTTTTGGATTTGCATATACAGGATGACTCAAAAAAATTAATGAATGCGTAAATTTATTTTATTGATTTAATCAGGAACTACAAAACCGAATGCTTTGAAATCTTGCAGATGTTTTAAGGTCATAAAGAGCATAATAAATGTTTAGTCAAAATATATTTGCTTATCCCCTCCAAAAACTTGATGACGTCAGCTCAAAAGTTTGTGGAATAAATCATATCTAAAATGTACAAAATATGATGAGTCTGTACTTGTCATTTATCACTCCATTCATATTTTTTGGATTTGCATATACAGAGTGACTCAAAAAAATTAATGAATGCGTAAATATATTTTATTGATTTAATCAGGAACTACAAAACCGAATGCTCTGAAATCTTGCAGATGTTTTAAGGTCATAAAGAGCATAATAAATGTTTAGTCAAAATATATTTGCTTATCCCCTCCAAAAACTTGATGACGTCAGCTCGAAAGTTTGCCGAATAAATCATATCTAAAATGTACAAAATATGATGAGCCTGTACTTGTCATTTATCACTCCAATCATATTTTTTGGATTTGCATATACAGAGTGACTCAAAAAAATTAATGAATGCGTAAATATATTTTATTGATTTAATCAGGAACTACAAAACGGAATGCTCTGACATCTTGCAGATGTTTTAAGGTTATAAAGAGCATAATAAATGTTTAGTCAAAATATATTTGCTTATCCCCTCCAAAAACTTGACGTCAGCTCGAAAATTTGCCGAATAAATCATATCTAAAATGTACAAAATATGATCAGTCTGTACTTGTGATCTATCACTCCATTCATATTTTTTGGATTTGCATATACAGGATGATTCAAGAAAATAAATGAAAGCGTAAATTTATTTTACTGATTTACTCAGGAACTACAAAACCGAATGCTTCGAAATCTTGAAGATATTTTAAAATTATCATAAGCATGGTAAATTTTTGATCAAAACGTATTTGGTCGTCCCTCCTAAAAAATTTATGACGTCACCACAAAATTTTGCTGAATAAATCCTAACTAAAATGTACAAAATATGGTGAGTCTCTTCTTGTGATTTATCATTCCATTCAAATTTTTTCGATTTGCATATACAGGGTGACTCAAAAAAATTAATGAATGCGTAAATTTATTTTATTGATTTAATCAGGAACTACAAAACCGAATGCTTTGAAATCTTGCAGATGTTTTAAGGTTATAAAGAACATAATAAATTTTTAGTCAAAATATATTTGGTTATCTTCTACAAAAAACTGATGACGTCAGCTCAAAAGTTTGCCGAATAAATCGTATCTAAAATGTACAAAATATGATGAGTCTGTACTTGTGATTTATCATTCCATTCATATTTTTGGATTTGCATATGCAGGGTGACTCAAAAAATTAATGAAGGCGTGAATTTATTTTATCGATTTAATCAGGAATTACAAAACCGAATGCTTTGAAATCTTAGGAATATTTTAAAGTTATTATAAGCATGGTAAACTTTTGTTCAAAATGTATTTGTTCATCCCTCCTAAAAAAATTGATGACGTCACCCTTAAATTTTGCTGAATAAATCCTATCTAAAATGCAAAAAATATGATGAGTTTGTACTTGTGATTTATCGTTCCATTCATATTTTTTAGATTTTCTTAAGAGGTGGTTCAAAAAAATTAATGAAGTCAATTTATTTTATTGATTGAATTAAAGGCAACACTTATTATTAGTATTACACCCCAACCAACCCAATTTGGTAGACACAAAATTTGTTAAAGGAAAAACTCGGTTGAAACATAAGGGTAGCACGCTTATTTACATCGACTTTAACATTACAGACCTGCATTTGTTTTATGCGTTCACTTGGTTCCGCGAATGTGAAATAGACATGTTTATAATCAACCAATTGTGAATTTCACCGTCAAGAATTAAAATAAAACCCAATGTTTTATATAATAAGCGGAAGTCGAAGCAATAAAACCGATGGTCGTTTTGTTTACAGTTTCTCTGTTTGACTCTCACGTATGCTGTTACGCCTGTCATCTTAAATTAAGAATGTTTATACATACACGATTTTCAGTTGCCTCTGATACGTATACGTGAGTAAATTGTTTCGTTATTTTATTGATTATTACAAATCAATATTCAAAACGACCCAATTCATTTTCCCGAAAATTTGAGAATATAATAATTTTATTCTTAGTATTACACTACATCTATCCCAACTGATATACGTGTCCTTGCAAAAATGTTGATGACGTCATCGCAATTTTTTTTAAAATTCCCACTACAAAAATGTAATGAGAAAAAAAACACAATAGGCATGCAGTCGTCAAGTATCCGACAGCGAGGGAGGTACTGTCTAAACTCTTTAGACCAATTTTTGCATTTACGATTCCACTACTTTCCTTATTGTATAAACAAGTACAATTTATTTAAAACGCGTTAAATTCTTGGATGGAATTTCCCTTTCCAGTCTACGTCCCGACCATCCTAATCTCCCTCGTCCAATCTTTTCACAAAGAACCTTACTTAAACTTTCATTAAACTCAAAATCAATGTAAATTACATTCAGTGGTCAGCAGGCTTTTAGTGCGGTAAGATAATCGAGTAGCTCCACTATTGATTCCCGCCATTCTACCGAGATAAAAAGGGTCAACGCGGCAAGTAGATGATGCTCTTTATTGGCCCCCGGCGGCGGCACGCATCCACACCAGACTCTTGCAGAAATAATAACAGTGTCATCAATCGCGAAGTCGTGTCTGGCGCAATTGCCCGATAATTAAAAGTAAATCGGTGGCGATGTTGATAAGGCTTAATTGGGTGCAAAATGCGCAAACGCTCGCTGCTTGGGATACATTTATTCTCGGATGATTCGCAGACCGGCAAACTGATTTCCCACAGGATCTATGAGGGTATTAGACAAATAAATACCGCTAACTTCGCTGACGAGCTCTTTTTATACAGAAGCGTTTGAGAGAATTACGGGCTGGCGAGTTCCGGGGCGCGGAGCCAGGGGCGGCGTGCGGGGGCGGATTTTCCAAATTCGGGCATCCGGGAGGCGTTTGCGCGATTAATGAAAAGCCACGTTCTGTTGTTTTCGCAGTATTTACAAAACAATACTCATATTAATCAAATCTCAACCGAAAAATCGGGTTATTTGTATGGAGAACTCTTCCCATAGCAACATTTCTGCTACTTTTTGTTGTAAATTCGAAAACGTGGACCTCTTTAAAATACATCGCAAGTTTCACCTTATTCCGGGAAGTTAAAAAACCGCCGCTGTGTGAAACTTCGAACCGGCCCCGGTCCGCCCCCGCACACACGTCAAACATCATTTCCCAACCCCTTCCGGGCGATTGCTTTCCAAAAATATATCCGTCGAATGAAAAGCAATTAATTCCCGCCTGATAATGACGCGCCTTTGAGCAACAAAGCCCGGAATGTCTTTGTCTGAAAAAATATGATAAAAGGCGGAAATCAAGTCGGCGTCGTTTCACAAGAACGCGCCGCCGCCGCCGCCTCCTGTCAACCTAAGAAGTCTAAACATGTTTTCAATTGGAAGTGCGCGAGGTCTAGGCTAGAAATGCAATCACAAACGTCCGGTTCGCGCTTAGATAAAACACAAAGAGAAATATGGCCGGGCGCGACTGGAAGAAATGTGTTGGAAAGACAAATTCCCTCGATGACATTTCCATCTGTACGAATCTTTTCAAACGCTAACGTTGAATGATGGCGATTCGCATGCATCATCGGCCGAGGGTCCGAAAAATGGCGAATGAAAACGAATGAGGCTGCGAAATTAGCGGCGGCGGGGCGGAACGGGAGGGCGGCGGAGACGACAATAAGTTTTTCTGTGGGTAATATAAAAGTCTGGCGTGAAATGGGTTTCTGAAAAGGTAAATTTGTCTTGGAACGGTTAAATTAGAAAAAACTGGGGTAGTCCCCGAAAAGCACTTCAAATAGGCGCTGTTTACAAAGTGCAAAAAATGCGAGACGTAATTTAGGTTCAGAAAATACACAAGAAATAGTGACTACTTGTCCGAAGTTTATAAACCTTCAACCAACATTGACCTACATTACAATAATTCACAAAAAAAATCACAAGATTTAGGTCTACTATTACCGTACACGAAGTTTTGTCATCAGGGACGCTGCTTAAGACATGAGTATGTGATTGTATACCCAAATAAATTCACCAACCCCTAAATTTAAAACAAATTCAGAGAATATATTTTTTATACCGACTTAGACCGTTTCAACTGAAAATCACTCAGTCCAAGCGGACTAAGACCCTAGATTTAAGTTTTGGTTCGAAAAACGAGCGCGAGTTCGAATCCTGCACCTGACACTGCAGTCGACTTTTTACTTTAAAATGTATATTGTAATAACTTTTCCCGATACGCTGCACTGCAAAACATGCAACGCAGTTTGTTTATTCAATAAACTAATATTGTACAACTTCTACACTTTTGAAAAATGAATCCTTTGTATCCAACCACCACGAAGTACAACCAAACACCTTCACACATATTGGAAAGTAAATATCTGGTTGTCACCATCGTGTTCACCCCAAGTACGTGGAATTGCTCCAGGATTGTAAACAAAATCTCGAATTTCGAGAGCGCTTTTGGCACAAGCATTCACTATAACACTTTTATAGTGAATGTACCACTTCTGGCAAGCAGCGTTGGCGTGCTCGTCCGCGGGGCAAATATTACCAGTGAGACCAATCTTCTCCCGTAGAAGTACGTTTGTATTACCCAACGCTTTCCAGTTTTCCACATCGATAACTTTCCTAAAATTTGACCTGAATTTGGGTTAGAAGAGGGCACATTTTTACCCGTTGCTTTTATTGATGATGTAGACCAGACCCCCGTCGAGATATTCGAGGTACCATAGTTGAGCATCAGTGCCGGTGTAGTGTTGTATTGTTACGTACGGGGAAGTGCCTTCTAGTACGAGTCCAGAGTGAGGGTTTCTTAGAGTGAAGTATCGGGAAACGTGGCAGGCAGCAGGAGTGAGTCCAGTAGGAGTACTCATGAAAATGGTGTGGACCAAAGATAGCAGCAGAAGAAGTTGTGGAACGTATCTTGAAATGGTTATGCGAATATTTGACCTCGCGGTGTAATTGACGGTCTATGCGTCTAGAACAAATGCATTCGTACTTACCGTGAAGTTTTTTCTATAAACATTTTCTCGATCTAGCTTTTGATCTAAACTGTGTAGAACTCAGTGTTGGTCTGTCGTGTCAGCAACGTTTAACATTGTTTTTATTTGTCCAGGTCAATTGTCCATCAATAAACATCCTTCCGTAAGGTATTAACCTTTCAAATATGTGTTTGTATGCAAATTATCACTGTATGTACCTTTACGACCCGACAATCCCTCCATAAAAAATATTTTTCGGGCTGGGAAATTAGCGGAGGCGGAGCGGAACAGGAGAGGAGGAGCGGGTGCTGAAGGCGGGAGATGGCAATAATTTTTACTTCCCGAGCGTAAGCAAAGGAAGTATTGTAATCGAGTCCGTCGGCCGACTCTCTACTTTTACGTTTTCTCGATCTTTCATGACCCCTAGAAGACGAAGAAATAGGTCTCCCATTTCCATCTGTCTGTCCGTCTGTCTGTCCGTCTGTCCGTCTGTCCGTCTGTTGTCCCGGATTTTTATTAGACAGATAATCTCCGAAAGTACTCGACCGATTGCTGTGAAATTTTGTACTTATATTAAGAATATCATGTAGATGGTAAAACGCTAACCAAAATTTGTCTAATCATCCCCACCACTAATGCGATGACGTCACTTCAAAATTGTACATAGTAAATGGGTTTTCAATTGTATAAAATAACATAGTCCTACACATGTAGTTTACAACTCTGAATCGACTTTTCACCCGAAACGTCCAGATTTTTGGAAAAAAAATCAAAATTATAAAACAACATTTTGAAATTTAATTTTTAATCTGCTAACCAGAATGCTTTGAAATGTTGCAGATGTTTTAAGGCTATAAAGAGCATCATAAATCTTTAGTCAAAAAATATTTGCTTATCCCCTCCAAAAACTTGATGACGTCAGCTCAAAAGTTTGTGGAATAAATCATATCTAAAATGTACAAAATATGATGAGTCTGTACTTGTGATCTATCACTCCATTCATATTTTTTGGATTTGCATATACAGGGTGACTCAAAAAAATTAATGAATGCGTAAATTTATTTTACTGATTTACTCAGAAACTACAAAACCGAATGCTTTGAAATCTTGCAGATGTTTTAAGGTTATAAAGAGCATAATAAATTTTTAGTCAAAATATATTTGGTTATCTTCTACAAAAAACTGATGACGTCAGCTCAAAAGTTTGCCGAATAAATCGTATCTAAAATGTACAAAATATGATGAGTCTGTACTTGTGATTTATCATTCCATTCATATTTTTGGATTTGCATATGCAGGGTGACTCAAAAAAATTAATGAAGGCGTGAATTTATTTTATCGATTTAATCAGGAATTACAAAACCGAATGCTTTGAAATCTTGGGAATATTTTAAAGTTATTATAAGCATGGTAAACTTTTGTTCAAAATGTATTTGTTCATCCCTCCTAAAAAAATTGATGACGTCACCCTTAAATTTTGCTGAATAAATCCTATCTAAAATGCAAAAAATATGATGAGTTTGTACTTGTGATTTATCATTCCATTCATATTTTTTAGATTTTCTTAAGAGGTGGTTCAAAAAAATTAATGAAGTCAATTTATTTTATTGATTAAATTAAAGGCAACACTTATTATTAGTATTACACCCCAACCAACCCAATTTGGTAGACACAAAATTTGTTAAAGGAAAAACTCGGTTGAAACATAAGGGTAGCACGCTTATTTACATCGACTTTAACATTACAGACCTGCATTTGTTTTATGCGCTCACTTGGTTCCGCGAATGTGGAATAGACATGTTTATAATCAACCAATTGTGAATTTCACCGTCAAGAATTAAAATAAAACCCAATGTTTTATATAATAAGCGGAAGTCGAAGCAATAAAACCGATGGTCGTTTTGTTTACAGTTTCTCTGTTTGACTCTCACGTATGCTGTTACGCTTGTCATCTTAAATTAAGAATGTTTATACGTAAACGATTTTCAGTTGCCTCTCATATTACTAGACAGCGGATTTCTCGGGCTACGGCACGATTATAGGTGGGGACGCGCTGGATCGCCGGGACTCAGTAGCGGGTGATAGATAATCACTGAATTTAATCGGTACTAATTTCATAAATATAATTAACGATTTATTAATCAAACGGCTAAGTAAATGAGAACGGGAATTAACAGCAGAGTGCAACGAAACAGCGTTATTCTAATCTCAAATAAACGAAGTGCAGTCCGCAACCGCAATGAATTCGCATCCCGTACGAGCCGTACCGAGTTTGGCCTTGCCTAGCCCGACAGAAATCCGCTCTCTAGATATTACACACCGGCGCCGTATACGTGAGTAAACTGTTTCGTTATTTTATTGATTATAAGAAATCAATATTCAAAACGACCCAATTCATTTTCCCGAAAATTTGGGAATACAATAATTTTATTCTTAGTATTACACCACATCTATCCCAACTGATATACGTGTCCTTGCAAAAATGTTGATGACGTCATCACATTTTTTTTTAAATTCCCACTACAAAAATGTAATGAGAAAAAAAAACACAATAGGCATGCAGTCGTCAAGTTTCCGACAGCGAGGGAAGTACTGTCTAAACTCTTTAGACCAATTTTTTTGTGTGTAATATAAAAGTCTGTCTTGGAACGGTTAAATTAGCGAAAACTGGGGTAGTCCCCGAAAAGCAGTTCAAATAGGCGCTGTTTACAAACTGCAAAAAATTCGAGACAGCTGATTTGGTACAGGTGTAATTTAGGTTCGAAAAATCTTTAAGAGATAGTTAATACTTCTCCGAAGTTTCTGAATCTTCAACCAATATGGACCTAGTCCACAATACTTAATTCACAAAAAAAAATTCACACACTTTTACGTCTACACCAAGCTTTTTCATCTGGGACGCTTTCAGTTGTAGTTAAACCTTTAGATGTTCTGATAAATTTGGCTTAACGCTTATAAAAGGCAATAAACAATATAAAAGTTCCAGGAAATTTGAGCCGGACAATAATTCAAAAATATTAAAACATTTTAGAAAATATGTACAATCGTTTCAAGTTCTTGATTGTAGAAATTTTTGACAACACACCTATGCATTTGTTTACGATAAAAATTATTGTTTAAATTATGACATCATTACACGACTATATACCCAAACCAATTCACCAAAACAGACTAGATTTAACTTATGGCTCGAAAAACAAGCGTGGGTTCGAATCCTGCACTTGACACTACAGTCGACTTCTAACTTTAAAACTATATTGTAATAACCAAGCAACATCTATGAGTATCCTGCAACCAACAACACACATCTGTGACGTTACGGTCATGACATCACCGACGACGACAGGTCACGTGAGTTGGAACTGCGTCACCAAATGTAATCTGTGATGTCACACTTGTTGTGTTTTTAAAGATGATGTTTGCCGTCTTCCTCATTACTGACTGAAAAAACAGACCCACATTTTCACATTCTAGAACTACTTAGTAAGAAGTTCTTCAGGGAAGATTTATTGTAGAACTGTTTTTCATATTACAATGAAATAAGAATTAATTACTGACACTAAGACGATCATTTCAAAAATCATAAGTACTGGAAAATAAACTTCTGGTTGTCTTTCTCGTGCAAAGGAAACGTTTGCAACGAATCCCCAGGTAAATTAAGACCTCCTTGAATATCCAGTGCATATTTACCGCAAACGTTGACGATAACCCCTCCATACTGAATGTACCACTTCTGGCAAGCACCAACATTCACTTGCTCTTTTGTCGGACAGCTAACACTACTAGTCGTTCTTTCCCGTATTAATATCTTAGTCTTGTTTAGTAAAGACCCATAGTCTAAATCCATCACTTTTCTAAGAAAGAGTTAACTAGTTTAATATCGCAACTACTTTAATTTCTTACTCTGTGCCCCTATTAATAATATAGTGCAGACCTCCTCTCACTGGTTCCAGTCTCCATTGCTGCGATTTAAATCCAGTGAATAGTTGGAGATTTACAAAGTCGTTACTGGCTTCTAAGACGTGTCCAGACGCGGGGTTTCGAATTATGAAGTACTCATCTTCCGGATGGAAAGGTTTTTCACATGAAGAAAAAGCTATGGCAAGAATGAACCACATAAACCTGGAACTAGAGTTTTATTTTATCTATACTCCAGTAGTCTGTCTATACCTTATTTGTTTGCGAAGACACATAACTGTACCACACTTATTTTGCTGTTAAAGTACGTTTCACTGTATTAGATTTCAGCTGCAATACGCCTGATGTTATTTGAAAAACCATAAATCTTACGATATCTACTTCAGTATTAAATTACGAAACACATGATTTGTTATTTTAATTACACTCCATTTTAAATGCGCTGCACTGCAAAACATGCAATGCAGTTTGTTTATTCAATAACAAATATTTACATCTTCCACAGTTTTCAAAAATGACTCCTTCTAACTAAAGCAAAAACCCCTTGTATCTAATCACCATTTGGGTTAGAAGAGGGTACATTTTTACCGGTTGCTTTTATTGATGATGTGGACCAAACCACCGGGGAGATATTCGAGGGACCATAGCTGGGTATCAACGCCGATGTAGTGCTGTATTCTTACGTACGGGGAAGTGCCTTCTAGTACAAGTCCAGAGTGAGGGTTTCTTAGAATGAAGTATTGTTTCAAGTGGCAGACTCCAGGAGTGCCTTCAGCAAGAGAACTCATGGCAATGGTGTGGACCAAGGATAACAGAAGAAGAAGTTGTGGAATGTACCTTGAAATGGTTATGCCATTAAAACAAAATTAAAATATTTAAGAATATTTGACCCCGCGGTGCATTCGTACTTACCGTGAAGTTTTGTCTATAAACATTTTCTCGATTTAAGTATTGATCTAAACTATGTAGTACTCAGTGCCGGTCTGTCGCGTCAACAATGTTTAACACCGTTTTTGTTTGTCTAGATCAATTGTCCATAAATAAACAACCTTCCTCCTTGACATTGACCTTTCAAATATATGTCTTCGTGCAAATTCCCACTGTCTGCACCTTTTCGCTCCGACAATCCCTCCACAAAAAATATTTTTCGGGCTGGGAACCCTTCGTACCGATTAATTCCGAAAGGTCATCCCGTGACGTCAAACCGTGTATGTATGCAAATTGGGTTAAATAAATTTACTTTGAAAACGTGCATTAAAACTCTTTTAAGCGGTCTCCGTGCCGGTAGGAATGGGTGTTGGTGTATTTGCGTAGCTCGTATGAGGAGACGTGGTCTCTGAAAAAGCGTTTTTAGGCCAGAGCGACAGTGTTGACACAGGAGAAAAGCAAGCCGCTTGAAAATCTATCCATATGTATGTCACCTCAACACCAATCGCATGATGGTGCCCGTATTAAGAACCGCACTCTAGCGCGCTACACCTTCTGTTAAGCTGATTACGACCAATCCTCATCAAAAACACCAGCAGGAATAAGAAATGGCGAGCTGCCGCAGCGCTAATGAAGCACTTCAAGGGATTCTATTCGGATGAAAGAGGGTTTTTATGCTAACGTGTGTACAAGGTAATGTGGTAAAAATAGAATTAGCGACGATTTCAGAACGTATTGTGTTTATGCTAACTAGTGGGTGCACTGTGTGATTATGATATTGAGTAGGAAATGCATTAGCGTTATCGGAAAGGAGAATTTCCATGCGGCGAGGTCATGGCGAAAGGTCGCTGTACAAAGAATGTTTTATAAATCGCGGAAATTTACATATTTCGATTGTTACATCACATACTGCGAAAATCTGCGTTCCCTCCACCAGGTAACGTAATCAACATACACATAAATAGACATAATCATGCGCTACACGTGTTTGTGCACCATTTTTGGGCTTTGGCTTTGACCAGTCGAGCTTTTTTTGAGAAGGTGATTAAAACGTAATTTCAATTGAAATTTTTAACTTATTTTCGTCATATCAGCTTTCTTAAAATTAGTATCTTCATTAATTGGAACTTCCTGAATCAGAATATGAACTCGAAAAGGTTTTCTAAAAGCTTCTGATTTTCTTTTTAATTTTTAGTCACTCAACTCCTCCACTATTTTTACGCCCCGGTTGATATAATGAAAATGCGAAATTTATTCCACTAACTGTCTGAAATTTGCAGAGCAGAAGTTCCTGAATTGTTTTCAATTTTTATAGTATGATGGCACTTGTACAAAAATGAATTGGACGATGTACAATTCATCGATCACTCAAACCCGAACGATTAATATATCCAACCCAAAAATTTATCGTTGATACTGAAAAAGTGAGTATTTCAAGTATAAACTTGAAAAATGTTTTTGAGAAGCTGATGAAACTCAATTATGATTGAAATCGAGGTAGAATTTAATAACTAATGTCAGATTTGAATTCTTCACCGCAAAATTACTCTAGAAACTCAATTTCATAATGATCATGGAGTTTCATTTTATCGTCTTGTTTTCGTCAATTCGCACAAATTTGGATTAAGAATAAGTATATCAATCTATCTCTGTTAATTAGGCTTTCAGATTTCCGAAAATTGGTATCTTTATTAATTCAAACTACCTTAACAAAAATTTGGAGCTCAAAAAGTTTTTTTTCAAAACTCCTGTTTTTTATGTAAGTTTTAATAATTTCCCGGCTCTTCCACCATTTTTACGCCCTGCCTCATATCGTAGAAATTTTAAATTTGAACTACGACTAGTCTAAAATTTGTTTTTTTCCCCGAATTTAGAACTTCTGAACACGAATCTGAATTCAGAATTGACCAACTGAGGTTCCGAATTTTTTTCATTTTCATGTGTTTTCACCTATAAAAAAATGACTTCATCCTTTTTAACTGTCACTCAAGCCAGAACCACTCACTTATCTGACACAAAAATCATTTGTTGCCAATACAAAACTCCAAGGAATAGAATGGTAGAAACCGCAAATCGAGATCCTCTACTGTTTTCAATTGACGACCTGATAAATTTGAAAAATAATTGTTAAGCAGTTGATTGAAACACAATTTCAATTAAAGCTGATGAGTATTCAAAAACTGATGGTAGAAATACGTTTTTCACTGCAAAATTTGTCCAGAAACTCAATTTCAGGAAGATTGAAAAAGTTTTATTTTTTTACCTTACTTTCGTGATATCTCGAAAATTTCTGATTTGGACCATTTCAAACTATTTCGCTTAATTAAGCCCTCAGCTTTCTTGAAATTGGTATCTTCACTAAATCAAACTTCCTGAACAAGAATGTGAGCTAAAGAAGTTTCCCCCAAAATTTCTGATTCTTTAAAAAAAAAATTACATCGTCCTCTTTAATGACCACTCAATCTTGAACCATTACTTTATCTGGTATAAAAATCATTTGTTACCACTACAAAACTCCAATGAATAGAATGGTGGAAACCGCAAATCGAGATCCTGAACTGTTTTCAATTGATGAATTCATACATTAAAAAAAAAAAATTTTGAAGAAGTTGATTGAAACACAATTTCAATTAAAACTGATGAGTCTTCAACAACTGATAACAGAAATAAGTTCTGCATTGCCAAATTGGTCTAGAAACTCAATTTCAGGAAGCTGGAAGGAGTTTCCTTTTTTACTTTATTTTCCATATCACGAAAATTTCGGATTTCGATCATTTCAAACTATCTCGGTCAATTAGGCCCTCAGCTTTCTTTAAATTGGTATTTTCATTAATTCGAACTCCCTGAATAAGTATACGGACTCAAAAAGCTCCTCTGAAGGCTTCTGATTTCTTTTCTTAATTTTTAGTAGTCACTCAGACGATTTCAGAACGTATTGTGTTTATGCTAACTAGTGGGTGCACTGTGTGATTATGATATTGAGTAGGAAATGCATTAGCGTTATCGGAAGGGAGAATTTTCATACGGCGAGATCATGGCGAAAGGTCGCTGTACAAAGTCGTTAATTAAAGAATGTTTTATAAATCGCGGAAATTTACATATTTCGATTGTTACATCACATACTGCGAAAATCTGCGTTCCCTCCACCAGGTAACGTAATCAACATACACATAAATAGACATAATCATGCGCTACACGTGTTTGTGCAAAAATGACCAATCAGCGCCGAGTTTCCATCAATGTTCGACGTCCATCATATAGCTAATCCGTTTCACCACACTAGTATCAAAATGCAATTTCCCCACTTTGATCTGCAAAAGCTATCAGCAACTCCGCCACAAACACAAAAAAAGCTCCGTACATAGCGCATCCCAATTAGCGTTAAAACTTCATTTCAATCACAACTCACATAATCCCGTCCCATAAAACCAATGCATCATCAGTCTAGCATCCGGAATCCTCCGGAGCATTTATGACGTGTTTTTTGCGGCGGCGAGATACCGGAGTTGCCGACTGTGCAATTAAAACGAGCTAATTATACCGGCAGCATTCGTTTCTCAAACAGAGGAGAGATATTCTGCAGAATCCACACAAACACAACCCAATTTATTTATTTGAATTAAATTAACTTCCTCGATTTCCGGTCCATTGATTCCGAAAATCGCAAAGTCATTAATTACCGGACGGACTGTTAATAGAGATTTTAGCGCGACAAAATTTCGCCACAACTCCTTAATTACTTCTTTGAGACGGCGAAGATTCCGGCCGAATGCCCGAAACGATTATCGGTGAGTGTTTCGGAGGATTTTCCAAAAAATACAAGAGCAAAAAGAGGAGGAGTCGGCGGAGGGTTCATTAGCACGGGAAACTTCGACGTTTTGTATTCTTAGTGGCCGACTTGATGAGGATGGTGTAATCAGCTTAGGGAAGGTAAAGGGGTTTCGAGGAGTCTTACCGGGAGAAAAAGTCAGTCTGGCGCACGATGTACAAAAAGATCGGGTAATAACGCCATTGAGAAATGTTACCGGGGCGAATTCTACCTCAGGGTGCTTATTTCGTAGTCAAATTATTCCTGCTCATGTTTGTATTTACGCATTGGCACCCAATGCGACGCTGTTATTTGATCTGTATTAATAGGATCACTGACAATACAGGTGGCGCCACCATTCTTCAGACAAAACAAAAATTTAACCGTCGCTGTTACAAGACTGTGCAGACTAAAACCATAAGATTAAAAAAAGTCAAGTTTCAAATAGTTTTTAGTTTAATCTCTTAGAGTAACTAGAGCTTTCCACTCGCTTAATGATTCCTTGTCTATATCTAAACAAAAAAGGGCAACCTTGGGCGATGTTTATAATTGTTTGACTTACATAAAACCTGGCCGTCTTAGTGCTTTAATTTAACGATTGATAGTCCCGCATCGTCTGTAATTATAATTAATTAAAGCGGCATCGGCGCCGGAATTTTTGATCCGTTTTGATCTTTCGTAACAGCTTTCAGGGCGTCTTAAATTATGAAAAGATCTGAAGAAGGGCCCCGTCTGCAGCCGAATGCAGCCGAATCGAAAAGAAGCAATTAGAGTTATGAGCTCGGTATAAGGGTACGGCTAATGGATGCGAACTTCCATTTGCCCTTCCATAATTTATCAACACCTAGTTATAGATATCGTGAATAAGGCATGAGACAAACAAATGAAGCAAAGTGCTCAAGAATGAATAGGAAATGAACGTGGGAACGTCGCTCAATGGCACTTTTAATTCAGGAGGAGCATTGATTAAGGGGTGCTAATTATGAATTATCCCAGTCGCGTTAGAGAGAAAACAAACGATTAAAGCTCTCTTATCAGATTGTTTCCAGGGGCTGTTCATCACAACTTCCAGTCATACATGACGGAGGAGACGTATGGATACAAAGGATCTGCTCCGGTTCAAAGAGATTCAATGATAACGAGCTTCGCCAAATTACTCGTCCTTTATATTCCTGCGTTACGTCAGTTCACATAATTCCATTGTTCCAGGGTGGAACCGGCTCCTCGAACGCTCATCCTGCTGCTTACACGGATTAATACGGCCTTGGATGTGGGAGGGAGGGG